TGTGATTAGCTGCGGTTTCCCACGTTTGCATTTTTTTTTTTTTTTTTTGTGTTTTTTTTGACCCAAAAAGACATTAGAGTGTTTTTACAGCTAAAAAACTCCCCTAGGAACCCACTAGTCCTGTTTTTTTTCTCCAGCCAAAAAACATCCCAGCTAAAACACGTTGATTACAGTCTATGTGTACATGGACCAGGGGCAGACTGACCATTTGGAAACTCGGGCACTGCCCGAGGGCCCGGGGTCAGTAGGAAGCCCCATGAGATGCCCCTGGTACCTTTTTTTTTATAGGCTTTTTTGAGTTTGGGCAAGGACACAGGGGCCCCATGATCCACTATTGCCCGGGGGGCCCATGAGTTGTCAGTCCGCCCCTGGCATGGACACATAGGATAACATGCTGGGGAGTTTACTGGCTATAGAAAAAAAAACTCAAAAGCCAAAACCAGCAGCTGTAAAAACGTCCAGTGTGCATGAGGGCTTAAAGTGCCGGCTCCCACTGGTGTAAAGGGCTTAAAACTTGAAAAAAAGTTGTAGGAAAAGAGAAGTAAATATACAGTACTTACCTTACCCAGCATTAGCAATGCCTAGGCGTGGGTGATGTCACCATCCTTCTGCTGAGATCCCAGGGAATGCCAAGTATCCCAAATCTGGTGTGATGTCAGTCTTGTGCTGGAGCGACAACTTGCAAGATTTGAGATATTTGCCATTCTCCTGGGATCTGGAGAGAGAGTGACATCACCCCCTGCCAGGGGCGGACTGACAACCCATGGGGCCCCCAGGCAATAGGGGATTATAGGGCCCCTGTGTCCTTGCCCATACTCAAAAAAAGCCTATGAAAAAGATACCAGGGGCATCTCATGGGGCCCCCTACTGACCCCGGGCCCTCGGGCAGTGCCCGAATTTCCAAATGGTCAGTCCGCCCCTGCCCCCTGCATACCATAACCCATGAAAATGAGGTGGTAAGGTAAGTACAGAACACGGCAGTGACATTAGTGACACTGAATATGGAGAGAACACAGGCATCCTACACTGAAATGTATGCATTTACAGATTCTGCAGGTGACATAACTCTACAGAACAGCAAAGATGCCATGAAGGGGCAAGGACAGGTAAAGATAAAGTTTCTTCTGTTATGGCTCATTCAGA